GCATTGGAATGCCCCCTTAGAATTTGTGACGTCAGCAGAGATCTAACGATTTTTAAATCTTAGACTAAAACCATCGTTAACACGTGGTGGTATACGCTGCTTTGCGCGCAACGTCTGCCGCACTTTAAGGCTGCCAAATTATTGCTTCCAAATAAAGTCGCTAGTAACAGGGGAGATCCCAAAAAGTAAACAAAAGTAAAAGCCTAATATCTTGAAAACCAGTGAATATTTTTCGGTGAAATTTGGTAGATATTCGTCTTCGCTCTTTCTGAACCAAGGGACATCACTTTCATGCCAATTCATTAACTTTTTTGAAGGTGGGAGGGTCCCTTTAACTTTGGAGCCATTTTTCGGCCGGTTAGAAATATCATAGAAACGGGAAACTGAGTGAAAACCTTTTTTTAGACATTTTACTTCCAGTTCCATTTGCCAGAAGATGAGACTTAGACCTGATTCAACAAATAAACTGCAGCTATTTTTGCAAAACCTTGCAAAAACCCGTCTTACCCCACCCTATGGGGTAAGACGGTCACATGGGTAGGGCAAGACGGCCACCTTCTTTCACCGACCAGCACAGCTCGCAACAAATGCCCGAGGTTAGCCGCATTGATACAGTCGCTCGTTGGTCTCAAGTGCTTCGGAAATGGCAGTATACGATATTCGTGCAGAAGGCGTATGCTCGTATATATAGGCCCTAGTTCAGAAGCCATGTAGAACCGTTTCACATTCATTATTCGAGAATAAACTGTGCCGAAGGAATATTGCTAACATGTCTGTGAGTATCGGAATCGAACATATTCTTATTAGAAATGCTTCTTTTTTTCCTACAGCAACAAAAATATTTACACCATTACAGACCCATTGGATTCATATAGTTGCCCGTCTTACCCCAAACTCAATGTCAGAAGTTCAGCACGCGATTTTTCTCTGTGGACAATTTGATGCAGACAAAGCGAATCCGCGGTAAATGTATATGAGTGTACCACAAGTGATTGCGAGTTTTTAACTCTATAGTGCTGCACACAAAAGCTTGCACAATACATCATGGATGTTTTCAATGAAATGAGTGTTTTAAAGCAATCAAAATAAAAGATTATCGACTGAACACAAATTCACCAGACTTCAATGGTGGTGTGTAGTGGAAAAGGCAATTCTGGTCCTAGTTTTCTCGCTCGTAGCGCTATTGGTTTGGTCTGCAGAAGGGGTGCCCGTCTTACCTACCCTGACCGTCTGGCGTCTTACCCTGCACTTTCCCCTACGAGTAGGCTGCACTCGGTCCAGATTCCAGACGATGTATTCGACATTGAGCCGCTCTATGGCTATGGATCAGGGTAAAACATAACAACCGTTGCAGGGCAACTCAGCCGTTATGATGCTCTTATCGCTGTGGTGCTATATTTATCAACTGATATCCTTACACCCAACACTACACCAGGTTTTGGACCAAAGTGCAGTCGAGGTTTCGCCAAGAACACCGGCCGCAGTCGAGGTTTCGCCAAGAACACCGGCAGTCGGCCTCTCAGAACGACCGGGCGTTCGGTCGTTAACACATGCAGATAGAACAGCAGAGCCTTGATCTGTGATCAAACCGTTCTAAGACGTCAGTCTAGTCTGTGACCGTGCGTGACTCATCGAAACCGTGAAACGGGAAATCGAAACTAAAAGACTGCGACGTAACCGTATTCGTTACCATGTTTGTGGAACTTTTAGTGTCGAGGGAATTTAAACGGCGCCGATGAAAGGCCAAGTTGCGGAATTGGTGGTTCGATACAGGGCGCCTCCGAAGTCCGAGATAATAACATTCACACAATTGCATATAGGTAACCAAACCATCCACATCGGTCATCGACCACTGACATCGACCACCGTCCACCAACACATATGTAGAGAGCTGCAAAGAAAAATGTTTAATGTCGATGGATGAGAATATAACACAAATTTGAAACATGTGCGTAAATAGGCCATTTAATTTCCACAACACATTATGCATCGGCCTTGTATGCATTGGCGTCGGCTATATTTGAAAAAAAGTGCTTTGAGCCTCCTACAATAAATCCGCTCTTGCTGGGATGCCAAAACACTCAACAGTTGTTGGGACAATGTTGGGAGTGCTCAGCGCGATGCTTTCAAAGAACCTCCGCTCGGCACTTCACGTGCTGCAGGACACAGACCGTTTGTTTAGAAGTCACACGGCAGCCGACAGAACACCATGTGACCGAAATGTGACTGCATCCAGCGAACTCCTTGCTGAACTCCTGGCTCATGTTCGGTACAAACTTACAAAGAACTGGCCTATAATGTAACTACCTTAATGTTTAGAACGCATTCCGCTGCACTGCACCGGTCACTCACTCCAGACACCGACTTAAGTGGCCGATCCACGCCGTAAATGAGCCGCCAGCCGCCAGAACTAGGAACCGTTCGGAACCCTCCTAAGTCCTAATTCTTACGGAACTCTCACGTCTTCGAAGTTCAAACCGAAGAGAGTTATTGTTACCCCAACAAAAGATGGTATGACTGTGGGCGTGCCCTATAGCCTCCTGAGACGGGGAAAACACTGTGAGTGCAACCGTGCAGCCCTCGAAAAATTGGCATCTCTGCAGCCTATATCGTTTGGCCACTGCTCGCAGCTGCTGGGACTGCTCGGTGGCAGCTGTCTGACATTCATCCATTTCCTACAGTGGCAACTGGCAGCAGATCCAGCCCGGCCCCGGGCGCAGCTGCCTGCACCGCAGACCTGTCGGAAGTGTTGCAGGTGGTCGACCAGTCAGTCGAGCCGACTGTCCCCCCTCTCCTCCCCCACCCACCGATCCCGCCACCCGGCCACTGCACCATCGTGCAGGGGCGCCATCGGTGACGATGAGGACCTGTCAAGCACGGAGTCAGGACCGGTAGACGATTCGGTGGGGTTCCAGGGTGTTACCATCGACCAAGGTGTTTTTCGGGGCACCGTAACTGCGTTTGTGGCGGAGAACTGACGTCCCGTGCTTCGTCACGTTAGCGGTTAGCAGTTCGTCCGGGCGCCGGGTGATTAGCGGGGGCACGACGCACGGCGGAATAACGTGCCAGCATGCCGTATAGATAATCTGCAGACGATATGGATAGTGATTCAGAGCAAGAGGAAATAAAAGAAAAGAATAGATCAGAGGAAGAGAAAAGAGGGAAATAAAAGAGGAAGAGGAAGAGGAAGAGGAAGAGCAAGAGCAAGAAGCGAGAGCGAGAGCGAGAGCGAGATAGAGAGAGAGAGAGAGAGAGAGAGAGAGAGAGAGAGAGAGAGAGAGAGAGAGAGAGAGAGAGAGAGAGAGAGAGAGAGAGAGAGAGAGAGAGAGAGAGAGAGAGAGAGAGAGAGAGAGAGAGAGAGAGAGAAGTCGCTCTTCGGTAGCATTCCTTCCTCCTCCTAGGAACAGAGCAGGGACTGAATCTAGCCTCGTCCTCCGATTCCATCACAAGCAGCATCGAACTAGCTCGGCAGCGGAGGCGACGTTCCCAGCGGAGGTCGGCGGGCGCGGGCGCCACATACCATCGATCTAACGGCGAGGGCCGGCCACCGGAGCCTGGAGCCGCCTCCCTCACTGCCAGATCCGGCCGACAGCAGCGCGCGCCGCAGCTGAGGCTGGCAGGACACAGACCAGTTGGCGGAGGTGCGCACGGCCGCCGATCAACCCGCCCAGCGCCGCACCGGCCGCCAACCGCCAGCGACAGCGGGGCTTCTGGGACCCGCGGCGAAACGAGCATGAAATCGGCTCATCCTGATAAGAGTGCAGTGCACCCTCGAATTGCGATCTATGTCCGATCGAGTAGATGACCGAGGCTTAGCTAAAAATGGTCGTTCGGTCTTGGAACAGTCGGCAAGGAAATATGAACATCACGAATCCGTCCAGCGGCCGACTGAAACGTCAGATTTCTCTGACCGTGACAGTACCGCGACTCCGGCTATAGCCACTTGGCTTGCCGGGAGGACAAAAAAAAAAAAAAACTCGGACCTTTCTGTGCCGCGCTGAAGGAGCTGGCGATATCTCAGCAGTGTGCACCCCCGGTACCGTTCCTTCTACGCGCAGCGGGCGACGGTTTCATTCCTCCGGCGGCCACCGTCCGCCAGTCCCGATACGGGCTGACGCGTCAGCAGCTGACGGCGCTCCGCAGGGGGCGCCAGCTGACTCCCCAGCTGCCCGAGCCGCGGACAGGACATGGCGACCGAGCCCCGGACCTGGCACCGTGCCAGCGCGGCGCTGTCTCGAGGGCCGGCGCCGCCCCGAGCGAACAGAGGACCTTTCAACCGACACGATGGACAGGGGCGGGGACAGGCTCTGAGCAAGGAGAGATAGAACGCTGGGCCTTCACGATCTTCGGGGGGTTAAATGCGGGATCCCGGATAGGAACAAATTGCTTCGTTTCGGACAGCTATGTTTGCTCACGACGCGAGAAGGAACTGAGATGTGCAAAGGTGCATCGCTCGAACAGCCGTTATATAAGCTAAGCGCTCGTGTTGACTTTTCAAATCCTACTTAGGAAAATCTGGCGGTTTCCCTAACCCACGGGGCCACAGTGCTGTCTGGCTGTTATAATAGCTCAGCTCTCCAGACCAAAGTGCAGACAAGCAAGTTTTCTGAAGCAGCCATCCTTCACCATACCTTCCGGCCTGGACTGATCTCAGAGACGCCGAGGGCGATCACACCCGACGCAGTCGTCGAGTTATCGAGGCATGCTCTTTTACACTGGAGTGATGGTCGCCTCTCACCCATGACTGCCAATGTCTCGCATGACCCTGTGTAAAGCTGACGTCAGTCCGATTTAAAAGATCCAGCATCGACGCGTGGAGGCACCTCGGCCAACCATACCACGTCGAGCAAGGCCTTTCCGAATATCCGGCGGTTCCCGGTTCGTCCGTGTGTTAGCTCGCCGCTCTAGGCTCGAGGCAGTCATGCGGCGTCTCACAGTACACCGCTGCGATAACGTCGAGCCGCGAGACTGCACCAGTCAGTCGCCACTGAAACATCTCCTGACACGACATTCGTCACGTATATTCATTGTGCGTCACGCCGTCACCGCGGGCGCGCACAACATTCATATCGCCTTCACCGCCGACAGGCTGGTAACGCTACTCAATTTGGAATATTTACAATTTACACGGTTCAGCTCTGCCGCTGGCGTTGATAAATCAACGCCTTGCCCTTCAACTGAGCTCCTATCGCTTTTATCTGCAGCGATAAACGCAGCGTCTGCATTACTTGTTACCCGCCTAGGTCAGACCGAGCGCCTCTCCTGCTCTTTCCGGCACTTCTCATGCGAAAATTACTCTATAAATACCAAAACGGCCGCCGCCGCCGGCTCGGCCGGCTGTCTCCGAAGAGTAAAGGATTCTGCTAAGCCGGGTCACGCGGCCGATCCGTCGCCACAGAGGCTGCCGCTGGTGGCTGGTCGCCATGTATTAGCCCGGCGCTGGCCGGAGCCGCTCGCTCACATTCACACACTGTACTGTCACCGGGGCTGTGTTCGGCGCGGCGCGGGGAGCCACCCTAGGTCGGCGGCCCGGCCCGCACCGCCCGCCACTCCCGGCGGCCGTCTACTGGTCCTTGGGCCGGTACACGAGCTTCCTCGACTTGATGACGCTCCACTTCATCCTCTTCATGTAGTACGAGATGCCGATCAGCACCGAGAAAATCATGATTGTCTGCAAGAAGGAATCACGGTCAATTTGGCACACCATCGGAAAATAGCACGTAGGTATGTGGGGAAGAAAAACATACCACTGCCCAAAGATCAATGACAAAATAATCACAGACAGACAGAAAAACAACTTCGAAACGGTATCCACGACGACAGCTTAACTTTAATCATGGTAGGAATGACGGAAACAACGAACTATGACAAAGACAAAAAAAAGTGTCACGAAAAAAGCAGCACAAATCAATTGCGCCCACGCCCCACGCGGAACACGGAACAAGAAATCCACTGAATCTCCCAGAAGAGGCACTTCACTTCAGCTGCAGGCCACCGACCTTGATGATCATGCGTTTGCGTGTGTCGTGCTCGGGCTCGGCGGTCCACTTGAGGAAGGTGGTCACGTCCTTGGCCAGCTGGCTCTGAGTCGCCGGCGTGCCGTCCTCGTACTCAATGATCTGGCGGCGGGAGGGCGGGCGTCAGGCGGGCGAAACGATAAAACTCTGCTTCATCGCGGAATCGAACTCAAGACCCAACAGCATCCAGATTCTTCGCACAAATTCAACACACGCCAGCCGAGAGCGAGACAGTGCATCTCTCAGCAACAGGGAGGCCGCCGCTGACGCAATGCCTTCCTTCCACTGATGTGATTCTTATCTGATGAACTCGTTCAAGTCATTAACTTATACGAAGTCCCCCCTCTCAGTGCCCCGGACTCTGGTCGGTGCGTCCCTCACCTCGTTGTAGAGAGCCTGAGCCATGCTGATGGCTCCGCCCGGGAAGTAGGGGTTGTAGTACTGTCCGTCCTGCAGCTTGACGCCGGCCGGCGGGTCGCAGTAGCCCGTCAGCAGGTGGAACAGGTAGTCCTGTCGGCACACACCGTGTTACGTAATCACGGGCGGGACGAAATGCGGCAACAAACAAGAGCCATAGAAGTGGCTCTGCTCGGCACGGTCTTCCACAAGAAGTAAGTTACGGTTTACACCCCTTACACCCTCCCCGTCTCCGTCCCGCTCAGAGTCCCCACCTCGCCGCCGTGGCGCGCGCTGGTGATGTAGGTGAGGTCGGGCCCCCCGTCCCCCCTGTCCCGCTCAGAGCCCCACCTCGCCGCCGTGGCGCGCGCTGGTGATGGGTCGGCCCCCCGTCCCTCCCGTCCCGCTCAGAGTCCCACCTCGCCACCGTGGCGCGCGCTGGTGATGTAGGTGAGGTCGGGCGGCAGCGCGCCGTTGTTGGCTGCACGCGCCGCCTCGTCGTTGGGGTAGGGCGACGGGAAGTAGTCGGACAGCTTGCCCGGCCGCTGGAACATCTCGCCCTGGTCGTTCGGGCCGTCGGTCACCTGTGGACGAGCGACAGAATGTCAGTGTCCGTGTCCACAGAGTACCACCGGGGTGCAAGTGTTCGTGAAGTAATGAGCAAAGAATAAAACTTAACATTAAGGTGTAGCTAACATTTAACGTTCAATGACAAATTACCTGGTCGCATGTTTTCTTACACGTGTAAGATTGGTTGCAAGTGAACATGCGATTGCTGTTCACTTGTTGCAGTCACCTGCTATTACCAAGGTAATCACAATGCTTGTCACACAGCCAAGAACGCTAAGCCTGAGTCCCGAACCCCGCCAATAAAATAGCCCACGACCCTGCCCGATGCCATTGCCAACTAATTTTAACGCCACCACCCGTCAGACAGACTGTGACGTCACGGTCTGACGTCACACCGTCTCGCGACCCACCATGATCTGTTCGGCCTCGGCCTTTGCTTCGTCCTCGGTGTGGGTGACGCCGACCAGGTTACGGTAGGCCACGTAGCGCATGCTGTGACACGCCGCGCACACCTGTTTGTACACCTCGTAGCCGCGCCGCACGCTGCGGGCAGGGGCCGGCGGTCAGTGATGGGACGGGGTTACAGACACACAGAGACTGCGGACAGCGGCCGGTGGTGAGTCGCTGGGGGGGGGGGGGGGGGGGGCGCTGAGACTGCAGCGCGCCGCACGCTGCGGGCAGCGTGCGGCGGTCAGAGACGAGCTCGCCGTGAGGGCACCGAGACTGCAGAGTTCATCGGCTTTGGGTTAGCGTTCAGTGACCGGGCGAATATGGGCAGGCACTGCAGTCGGCGGCACAAAAATGAACACGGTTTGTAGTGGCAAGTTTAAAATGTCCAGATTTCGCACAAGTACAATGCTGTAAAACATCAGTCACTTCCCACCGACGAGTGGCACATGAGCTGTGAAGAGTGACCGGCTGTTGGCAAATAACGTGGGCGTCGCCGTAGGATACACTCGAACAGAATGGCGCCGGTGAGAACCTGGACAATCGGAGTGCAGCTGTCAAGAGTCCCGATAAGGTGATCTGGAGACTAAGGTAACTGTACAGTCACTGGCCAGCGATGGCGGGCGCGGGGCCACTGCGGCTCACCTGGCATGGTCCAGCGAGTCGATGATGCCGTTGTGGTTCCACGGCAGCTTCTGCGGGTGCAGCTGCACGGACGCCTTCACCGACTGGTTCAGCGCATAGCCGACGGCGGCAGCGCCACCTACGGCCACGCCGAGCGCCGCCACCGCCACCTGCCGGGAGTCGGCGCGATTAAACGAGAGCTCGCCTGGCAGCGAACCAAAATTCACATGTCACACAAAGACAACGTTTCTACGCCAAATGTACGTAAGCAAACATGCGTCGGACATTAAAGTTAATATACATAAGAGTTAAACACTCACCAGATCCCAATTTGGTTGTGAAATTGCTGATTATTGACCTTTGCCAATTGAATTTGTAGGAAGACTGCCACCTTCAAAAAGTTTTCGCAGATCGGCCTATGATTTATTCCCTGGACAAAACAAAATTTTAGAATTCACCTGACAAAGTATCATCACGTGAATCGCGAAAAAAATTGTCGATTTTCATACAATTATCAATCGGTTAATGTCTAGCGACAATGTTTACACATCACTAGACTTCAAGGTCATAAGATTATTACATTTTATTTGAAAAAGTATGGTATTTTATAATTTACTAATATATGATTTCATGAGAAATTGGCCATGTTTAATTTATTTTGCATTTAAGTTCGTAAAACATTAAAAAAAAAATCATGGCTCATTTGGAATGGGTCTGGCCCATGTTAAACCCCATTTCCCACACTTTTTTTTTGGAAAAAATGAACTACTGAATATATAAGTTTAACTTTTACTTTGACACTCCAATATTCTTCTCTGATCTCGAAACAATCAAAGTTTTGGCACATATTTACCAAAAGATAAGAAAATTCATGTTTCAAAGTTATCGATAAACAGTAGAGATGTCGGTTTTCTTGGACTAAAAAAATGGCATCAAACTGAACTTTGGTCTCCGATTTCTCGCAAACGGGTTCGAATTTCGGAAAACCGACTTCAGTCTGGGACATAGGTGGCTCAGCTCTAGTGAAAACCGTTTTGTGGAAAAAAGGTGGCAGTCTACCTTTAAGCCTCATTTCAGACTATTTTTAAATTCAATAAACCTAATATCAACCAAGTATCTATCTTCATTAAAAAAAATACGGTTAAAAATGACTAGCAGCAATGCAGTTTGCCATGTTTACCTAATAAAACTCACTACCTAGCCAATAAAAACTGATAATGATTAAGATAAATTTGCATAAAAACAGCATGGTTGAGAAGCCACTAACACATGGGAGGACTAATAATACCAGTATAACGCCTTTTGGGGCGACTAACGGAGCGAGCGAGAGGGTGGGCCTTGCACGTGCGAAATTGCGATGGGGTACCTCCAACTGACTTGTGCACGGCACCCTACTAACCGGTCTCTAGCGATGTGCCAAATTTGGGCACAATCGGCCCAGCCGTTCTCGAGATCTGGAAGCGGCACCCTGCACGTGCGCACGTGCAAAATGGGTCACAACTGACTTGTGCACGGCACCCTACTAACCGGTCCCAAACTGTGTACCAAATTTGAGCGCAATCGGTTGAGCCGTTCTCAAGATCTGGAAACGACCCCTGCACGTGCGCACGTGCAGCAGCACCCCAACTCTGGCACATGGATATGCAGTGCCTAGTGGGTGCCTACCTACATGCCAACTTTGAGCGCAATCGGCCAAGTAGTTACCGAGATATTGCAACAATTGCAAAACTGACACCTCTTCGTTTTGCACGTGGCACGTGCATAAGGGGTCACCCACATGCATCGGGAATAGTCCAATACTTGGTAGAAGGAATGAAGCTACCCTACAAAAATTACCGCATGTAAATCGGTCAAGTGGTTGCTGAGATATAAGCCTCGCAAAAGCGTCCGCACGGCCGGCCGGCCGGCCGGCCGGCCGCTCATACTCAGAAATTTCCGTTATTCTAAGGAAAGACTCCGCTCGCTTCGCTCGCTCCGTAATGACTGAACTGAGCTGAACAATGAAGCTTTAGATAAGATACCCCACATAATAATTCAAGAGCACCTAAAAAATCTTATGGCCAGAATTCATCATTGCAATGCATCTCAATCTGGTCCTAGACAGCATACATCAAAATAACTCAAACAAAACCAATAGCTTATAACTTCTTCACTTCAAATATATAACTAGGTAAGTAGTAATAAGGTACCTTTTTTGCATTGCTGGCATTCGCTGCTGTAGACAGGCTTGCAACTGGCTGAAAAACAAAAACTCCATTGTCATAACAATTGAAGCACAAAAGAGTCCAGTACCTAGCCTAGTGTAGTTTATCTTGATATTACATAACAGTAATGGTAGGATGCCAAGTGCAATAAGTAATCAAAGCAGGAAAACTTTTTGCATGTTAAAAATGACATTAAATTGTTGAGCCTTTACACAGAAACCCTTTCCTCATAGCTTACTGTATTCATCATTTGTAAAATGTCTATGAATTAAGACAGCTTTTCCAAGATACCTACTGGTTACAAAGCTGTGACCAGCCCAATCACTTTGCTTTAGATACCATATCATTTTCATGTTGACCATGAGTCATGACTCACTGGCACCTACCCAGGCTACCAATTAACAGATATGTAGTCTAACTGAGACAACAGACAATGAGCTTTTATTATCCATAAAGGCAATGGCTCATAGCACCAACTATCAGGATAAATATCACAATTCAACTTACGATAAAAGATAATACTAGCTTATATAGGCGGCGGAACGGGGAGGGCACCGTGCCCCCTTTGATTTTGACATTTTAACATTAGCCCTATGGGTGTTGCAAGGAAAGAATGGGACCAAGTGTCGGCAGTGCCCCCCTTAATTGGAGGTGTTCCGCCGCTACTGGTTTATACATCTTCACATTACACAAACATCAGTAATTTAAACATTGTAAATGACATGACATAGTTCATTTATATTTTGGGCCATAAGATAGGTACGTCTCAAAGCAAATACTTGCAAACATAAGCTGAGGCAGAATTATGTAATCGTGACCCGACTTGGGTATACGAAACACAATTACGGCGCAAAAGACGAACTGACGTACCTGCTTTGCCAGCGTAGTTTGGCTTAGCCCAAGCAGTTTGGGTTTAGCCATTAGCCTAACAGATGAAGCCATTTCTTAAAATTACGTGTAATGGTAGTCGAAAAACCAAAGTGATAAAATCCACAAGTTGCGGACACAAGTGTCCGTCCCCCCCGCGCAGCAATCCGCACAACTTTTCTCCAGCCGAATAGAGAAAAGAAAATGCAACATTATTGGAGTCGAAATTATGAATAAATAAAAACTCGCATGAGCCGCGACTTTGCTATAAAATTAATTTTTTATGTTTCAAAGCGAATATTTTTTTCTTTAAAATACAGATGCGTATGTTAAGCACAATAAAGACACTTTTTTCGCGAACGAAGTTTCAACCATGAAGAAAACAATGTTGCTTTTCCGACTAAATGTGTCAAAAAATACATATACAATGTTTCAAAATACTTAAATAATAGAAAATTGAGGCAGCGAAAGTTCATAACATTTTATTCATCGAAGTCGATGACGCTATCGATAGAACCGATACCGTCACTTTGCTGCTGGATTATGGCGTGTTGGCGTGTTTGGCCGGCTTTCTTCCATTGTATTTGTGTTTGATGGTTATTGTGGGGTCGTCCGTATACTTTTCGCGTTTATTAGGCATAAAGAAATATAGTGTGTGAAAGGGCACACAAAAATGTCGGACTTTCCCTACTTGGGGAACAGGATCAGTCTCATCTCCAGCTCCCAGATCAGATATGAAGGAATTCTGTACACCATCGATACAGTCCAAGGCACAGTGACACTTGCGCAAGGTGAGTTAGTTTATCTGTTAATGACTGGTGCATTAAAAAATCCAGGTTTGGTGTATGCTGGGAATATGCATTTCTTTTCAGAGTTCTAACACTGGGCCAGCTGGGGAGGGCATAAAGTCGGCACGTCCCTTCGGCCTGCAATGCCATGTTTCCCCAATATTGAATATCTTGATGATTCAAGCTGGCTACTCCAAGCTTTCCTAATCTTTGGTCAAATGTCTATTTGCTATTTTCATTAAAACCCAATGAAAGTTTGGATTTTTTTTAGAAAATGATTTTAGGTGATATTATGTTATGTTGCACTGTTTGACCCAAAGGCTCCTTTGGATCACTTATTTTTTGTATATTACTTATTTCTTGTATATCAGAAACATGTGGTGAGCACCTGAAGATGTTGTACTGGCAAACAGCACTAACACTTTCAAAAACCAGCTTGACCAATTCATGGCGCAAACGGCTATACCCTAGATTCAATCAGTCCAGTATACCTACCTTATACCTGACGTGGGCACTGATTAGACACCTAGTCTATGCCAGCCCATCCGATTAAACCTAAACCTAACCTAAACCTAAACCTACATTTCCATGTTTAAAGATTCAGAAGGTTTTGATGCTTTGGTAAAGTAATTCACAGTGCATTAAAAATATATCTTAGGAAGTTCTAGACCTTTCAGGAAGAATAGACATCAAAATTTGACAGACCTGGCCTGACTGACTTAACTTGGACCAATAATGCATCGAACTCTGGTCTACCTATCACTAATTTAGTAGGTATGCCCACTGGGTTCTATGAGTAAAATGATTTGGAAAATATATCACACATACCTACACTGTTCAATAGCTTACCATGGTCTTTGGAGGCTTTACTTGACCTTGACCTTGACCTTCAACTTTTAATGACTCTGTGTACTGTATCTTGTCTTGCCTATTAGCATGTTTTAGGCCATACATCTTGGCCCATTTCTTGTGGGCTGTGCTTCAGAACCCAGTTGGAGCTTGCAAACTTGTAGAATATTGAGGAAACTTGCAGGTTTTCCCTTTGACATGACTTTGACCTGACCTTTTAGTTTTCACCTACTCAAGCAAAGTGTGTTCCAAATATTTATCTGGGCAGCTTTTGATAGCCAAGGACACTGTCTTTGTAGAGTTCATTGTCAATGGAAAGATAAGGAAAGCAATGTTTTGCTGAATGTTGCTGAATAAGTTTTGAAGTACCTAGCATTATTTTCTTAGCCATGAGTAAAATATAAAAATGATCCCATTGGTCTTGTGGGAAGGTTGCTGCCATACTAGATGTTTGGAGATCACCTCTTGGAAAGCCTGCTGGTTTCACTTATTTTGTAAACTTTTCTCAGTTCAATGGTTCTTATTTGAAATGGTTGTGAAAAATCTATGGGTTCCTAAGGACTGTTTATGACTGGTTAATGGTGTTTCCAGTTGCATTTGATAGTTTCACTTGGTCCATTTTCACTTGGTATATTTTTATTCAAGTCTGCTTTTGATTTTTAGGAATGATTTGGTTAGAGTATTCATCAGTTTTATTCATGTTTTAGGTCATTTAGTTTGTTACCAGAGTGGGCACTGGCAACTGAACAATAATCATGATTGTTTGCTACTAGCAAAATACAAAATAGTTTTTAGTTATCAAACACTTCAATGCATTTCTTCAAGCTGTTTTGCAATTCAGAAAGCTATATAGATAACATAAAGCTCAAAACTAGTAATGTTTTTCACATTTTTTTTTGTATTAGTTTGAACCAATTTTGAGGTATCTGCTATTTTGGTATTTTGATGTCTCATATTTTACTTAGACATAATCTGCATTCATCAGATAATAGCCAGGATTACTTTTTTAATTTTTTTTTTCTACCCATTAAACATAATTGCCAAATAACTAGAGGTAAAGAAACTCATTGTACCAGGCTCACATGGACATGGCATAATTGTGAAAGCAATAATTGTTAATGATGCCAGCATTATTAATCAAAGCAAGGAAGCATTTCCTACTTCCCCCATGAACTAACAAATTGTATTCTATTCTTGTTCTGGATAAAATGTCAGTCACAGATATTGGGAATCTTGCAATTGGCATAGCACATTCAGCAGTGTCCTCAAGGCAGAACTGCTTCCTTTTTACAGGGTGTCTCAAAAGTTCGCTTACAGGTACCAGCCATGCTTTTTTGTCAATAATTCTGAATCAACATGAAATTAACAGTCGAAATTTTGCATGGGCATTGGTAACAACCTTCCTCAAGCAGCTTCATTGTTTTCAAGCGCATTCGACCCTTCATGAGCAAACAAAAAGGGTTCACCTCTGACCATGGATCAGGCATGAAAATGGAGGTCGCATACTCGGGTCGGCTGAGAAACTCTCTGCTTCACGAGTAATGGGAATGGTTAGGTCGGAAATGACACATGGCAAAGTGTCGGCGAGGATGAGTACAACATGATGGTCATCTAATAAAAACGGTGGCTAAAATTTTTGAAGGACAAAACCATGCGAGACTAACAGCGCTTTGAACGACCCTTGTACCGCAGCAGACTCGTGCTCCGGAAAGCAGCTGAAAATGCAGTCCTAACTATTGAAAACTGACTAGAAGCTCACAGACAGAGGTTACCCAGTTTCAAAAATTGCAGGTCATCATAAAATAAAGACAAAATATCATTTAAAATTGTTTATAATATCTATAACGCTAAATTTTGAGGGAAAATAATGCGAAAATCGTCAATGCCGAGGACAAGTGACCCTCCAAAAGTGTCAATTATTGTAAAGTTTTATCTAACGAAGTTTCAAGAGGCAGATCTGGAGCAAATAGCTTTCTTTTACACACAAAATCTGGACAAAACCGCACGATGGACAGGTTTTGGCCGTTTACAAAGCAGAACCTCTCCTGAGGAAAACACTCCGGAACCCAGCGAAGGTCTTGGCATTGGGAATGACGAGCGTTCGGGATTTGCCAATTTTGCAAAATGTGTCTAAGAAACAGATGGCCGACACATTCTGCTACGATATGCTGCGAAAAATTTGCCCCTGGCACTTCCCATTTGTTCAGGAATGGGGTTGTTTTGAAAAGGAAAATGGTGCTTGGGAGGTCGGCGCCAGTCATTCATGAAGGAGTTAGCGCCAGAGAAGACCTACAAAATACTCACGGATGGTGTCGATGCAAGCTATCGGCTTTCAGGGAGAAGCGGATGTTGCCGGGGAGCTCGTCAAACCTAAATCCGACGCAGAAACTGCGGGGGATTCCCCTACAAGAGCTTGAAAGCTGGTAACCTTTTATCAGCCTCCGGCAGCTGACGGAGTGACGAAAATCGGTATGGGCAAATATTTTTGGAGATACAGCAAAAGGTTTGGTTTCCAACCTTCCGAATCAGTTGTCAAAGCATGCATATTTGTCTAGTGTACACACGGACACCAAAACCTTAGATTTTTGACCGGTTCTTATATGCTTTATTGACATGGGAAATGTGTAAACGAACTTTTGAGACACCCTGTATATGGCTGGCACCTGTTTTGTTTAGGATTAGCAGCTGCTCAGAACCAGCTTTCTCTATGATTGGGTGAGTACTGAGTAGCTCTGCTGTGCTGATCTAGTGTACAGTTGACTCCCTTGTCACATTGTATCTGGTGCTGCTGCTGTGGAGAACTGTACTCCTGACACGGTTTATCTCACTCTGTCGCCAGTGCGGTCGTTCGGCACAGAGGACCGGCCCACGGAGCGACCGGTGGCCGAGCGCGATGAGATCTACGACTTCATCGTCTTCCGCGGCTCCGACATCAAGGACATCAAGCTATGCAGCGTGCAGAAACCCTACGACGACCCCGCCATCGTGGAGGTGAGCCATTATGAGACGCTGGTCAGTAGGTATGCAGCTTATGTCCACCTGTTGGATCAGTGACCAGGAGGGTCTCGGTAACACACTGTCCTTGCATCGTAAGAGGATCACTGACTGAACCTCCACTGGCCCAACAGGTGGTATTGAGCCAGTAGGGACCTGATAGTGGCGCATTTCTCGTGTTTCGCCGCAGCATGCAGGATGACTGTGGATATGTTGCTGCAATGTGATACAGGGGTCAAATTAGTCTGTTTATCGCGGTCAGATTCGGTACTGGTGGCCATTTCTCCGCTCACGGCGCCGGCTGGTGCGCGGGTCGTGTGTGTGTGTGTGTGACCCGGAGTGACCGACGTCTGTGTGTCCGTGTGCCGGCAGATGGGCTCATCAACGAGCTCCGGCGGCGCGCCGGGCGGCCCGCTGGCGGCCGGCAGCCGCCTCTCCCAGCAGCCGGCGTTCGGGGCAGCGGCGGCCGCCCCGGCGCCGGCCGCCGGCTACGGGCTGAACGGCGCGCCGGCGGCGGCGGCGGCGGCGCCGGCGTCTGCGGCCGTGGGCGGCGCCGTGAGCCGGCTGCCGCCGGCGGCGGCGGCGCCCGGCGGTCCCGTGTCGGCGGCCGTGCCGGCGGCCTCATCCAGTGAGTCTGCGCCGCTCGTCTCCGGCGGCGGAATGATGGACTATGCGGCACCCGGCCAGCCGCCAGGTACCGGCACCGCGCGCACCCACCCACCCACCGCACGGCACGCTCCCGTCCCACCGCACACGGTCTGCTCCAGTCGACAGCACCCAGCCCCATGCCACGCCCTCACCGGGAATGGGAGTGTCTTTTAGTTGAACGAAAATTATCGGGAATGGGAGTGTCTCTTAATTGAACGAAAACTATTTCGTTGATAAGAACATGTTCTTGAAAAAAGTTAGGACTTGTTGAAACGCAGAGCTTCAACGCTAAAATCCTCCAGCTGAAGGCAGAATAATTTGACACCATGCATTGCCAATCGGAGTGATTTGGGGGCGGTCAAAAGAAATGACTGAAATTCAATATGCTGTCGCCAGCTCATAAACGAATAACGTCAAAAATTGTCAAGTTCCTTCCCATGCTGTTAATACACCCCGCTTCATTTTATTTCTTTGCTAAGCAGTGCTCCATTTTATCCCTACGATTCTGCTCCACCACTAGCCACTTTATTCAGTGCTTGACTGCTTAATCCTGCATGAACTAAGATGCTGAGCTGTAGCTGACTATTCCTCATTTTCGTTTGCTGTCCGGTTTCCTCTGATGGCCATTTTTAGTTTTGGTTTCGACATGCTTTACGCTTCACATTTGCAGTAGTTCAGGTGATTTGCTGTATGCAATTTATGAAAGCACACTGTGCTTGTCCTTTCTCACTTCCACTGCACTCTTTTGTAAACCACCACTGAAAACGTTTTTATATTATACTTAGAGAAAGGCTTGGACAAATGTTCAGAATGAACGTAATTTTGCAGAATAATTCTATAAGGAGAAGTTTTTGATCCTTGAATACCATTTACATTACTCGGTCGAAAGTTTTTTTTTGCTGTGATGTTTCTGTTTAGACTTATCTGTCTTTTTTCCCAAAGTGTTCTTTACGCAGTTGATAACTTGAACCAAGTGTGATGTCAATGTTATGGCCAGCCGACTAGTGTAGCGTGTCATGACTTCGTAATTGTTATTCGCCCTCCCCCTTCTCTTCAGCGGTCAATGTTGACATGTGGTGTTAGCCCCCTCCCCTCCTGCCCCCGCAGCGGGCGGAAGTGACCTGCAGGGCGGTGCTAACTGCTGACCCTCCCCTCTCCCCAGCAGCGGGCGGAGGTGAGCTGCAGGGCGGTGCTAACTGCTGACCCTCTCCTCCCCCCGCAGCGGGCGGAGGTGACCTGCCGGGTAGTGCTAACTTCTGACCCTCCCCTCTCCCCAGCAGCGGGCGGCGGGGACCTGTGGTGCTGACCCCCCTCCCCCCGCAGCGGGCGGCGGTGACCTGTGGTGCTGACCCCCCTCCCCCCGCAGCGGGCGGCGGTGACCTGTGGTGCTGACCCCCCTCCCCCCGCAGCGGGCGGCGGTGACCTGTGGTGCTGCTGCTGACCCTCTCCTCTCCCCCCGGCAGCGGGCGGCGGTGACCTGCTGGCCGGCTCGTCTCGTTCGACGACGCCGTCGCGCCGCTCTCCGACGATGGACCAGGGGGTGCAGACCCAGCAGGACCGGCAGCACCGGCACCGTGACGGGTCAGTTCCACTGAGCTGGACTGTCCGTCACCTCGCACCCCGACATACACCACCCAGCAGAAGACAGATGGGACAGTGGCAACGGGGGCTTTTGGGCACTCATTTAGCTACAATTCGGCTAAGTTACAGAATGTCACTGAAGCTTCTGTTTTTTTTCTGAGGCTCACTAAAAGGTGGATTTGTCGTTCTGTCTAAGGCTGCCGCAACGAATTTTTGTGCCATAGGCTGGTTTGTTCAGCTAGTCACTGATGCATATTCAGGTTAACCCTTTTTGTTTTTTGTTTTCTGCGACCACTCCGCCGCAGAGTAGCTCTGACCGTGCTCTATCCCCGCGCCTTACAGCCAGCAGCGCGGTGGTTACCACAACAACTACCAGCGGGGCGGCGCCGGCGGCGGCGGCGGGTACCGCTCGCAGCGCGGCGGGCGGCGCGGCGGCCGCGGACAGAGCCGGGGCACCTTCCAGGTCAGCGCGCGACCCATCAAGTTCGACGGCGACTTCGACTTCGAGGAGGCCAACAAGAAGTTCGAGGAGCTGGCCGCCCAGCTGGCCAAAACCAAAATCAGTGAGTGGATGGGAGAGGGAGTTAAGGCTTGGATGAAACGGGTTGCGGGCTGCGTCCGAAATATGTATCTGCTCATCATTGTTGCCTACAATTTGGAGTCCATTCTCGTCTGGCACGCTGCCTTTGGAAACAACTTCATTTTAAACAGCTTTGATTGGTAACCTGCCGTCCCAGGGTGCGGGGAATGTTGCGCAGGGGGGTGGCTGAGTCTATTATCAGTTGGAATGTTTGTTTGGTGGTGGCTGGTCGGCACTGGTTTCGAAATTGGTCCACCCGTACCGTACCGGTAACCCGTTGTGGAAGGCGAGTCGGGCGCCAAAAGTCGGTTGTTCGATAGAATCGGGCTATTTTTTCGCCAATGCTGCCGATTGGTATGTAAAGTGTGTGCTGTTCAAGAGGATGTAGGTAAATTGACTTATCATTCGTTCGTTAGCTTAGCGCTGTCCAGACTGCAGTGTGTGTCCGCTGACCCTGGCCATCAAGTGTGCTGTTGTGTCCACCCTCCCTGGACTGTCTGCCCCGGCTGTTATCGCTGTCTTCACGGTCCGGCTGCCGAACTTTCGGCCGATTTCGGCTGTCCTCCCAACGGCTAACCCGTGTCCGTTGTGTCCGGCTGTTTACTCGCGTCCTAAGTCCAGCTGCTTACTCGCGTCCCGACTCCCGTGTCCGTCTGTTTATTCGTGTCCCGTGTCCGCCTGTCATCTCACCCTCCCGTATCCGTCTGTTCTCTCACCACTTATGTCCGTCTGTTCTCTCACCACCTGTGTCCGCTGTGTCCTCCCACCATCCACTCGACGTGTTCTCCAACCGCCCCCTTTGCCGCCCGCAGCGCCGGCCGGCGGTGAGGAGGAGAACGGCGAGGCCGCTGGCGGTGACGAGTCGGCTGAGGAAGGAGAGCTGCACGAGACATCCACAGAGGAGCCGCCCGTCTTCTACAACAAGACCAAGTCGTTCTTCGACAACATCAGCTGTGACGCCATCGAGAAGGCTCGGGAGTGAGTGGACGGGCGGCGACTGCGGGGAGGAGGGACGGCGGACGCACCCGGTGTCCCGGGGCGGGTTGGTTCGGCTGGATACGTCGTGGCTTACCTTTAATCGTTACGCTCAGTTTTTGTTATTCAACTTTTCTGGAGAGGACAGAATCGTTGCGTTGCCATAATTAATGTGGCTGATTTTCGCTGCCTTTGTCGTTAATCTGCTTGAAATGAGTAACTGGAAGCGTATGGTAGGTGCTGGATCCTGGGACACGGGCGTCCGCCGTTTCGAGAGTACCGTCTCAGTATGATGTTTGACATCCTTGCACGCTAACGCGGTGGCTCCCCGTCCGCCGGCCGAGTCTGATTGGCCGCCGGTGGACGGGTCGAGCCCCGCCTGTCGACAACCGGGCCACCCGTCTGTGGAGGCGGGCGCTGACTCCCGTGCGGGTCTGTACCGCCCCCTGGCGCCCCGGCCGCCGCTGACCGCCTCCCCCGCCCCCGCCCCCGCCCGCAGCAACCGGCAGCGCCGACAGGACTGGCAGAAGGAGCGCAAACAGAACCTGGAGACGTTCGGCGTGGAGGGCACGCGGCGCCCGTACCGGCGCGGCGGCTACGGCCGCGGCTACTACAACAACCGGGGCGGACCCGGCGGCGGCGGAGGGTACTACAATAACCGGGGCGGCGGCGGCTACTACAACAACCGCGGCGGGGGCGGATACTACAACAACCGCGGCGGCTACCGGGGCTACTACAACAACTACAACAGGGGGTGAGTGCACCTACCGGGGCTACTGCAACTACAACCGGGGGTGAGTGCACCGGGGACTACCGGGGCTACTCAGGGTTGTATAGGACTCAATCAATAGCAATCAATTCAATCACGGCAAATTTGGGAAACCAATCAAATCAATCAAGTCAGAACAGTTTTCGGGAATTGATTCAATCGACTCAAACGCGACAATGAAAGGAATCAATCAACTCAATCAAACGACTCAAACCAAGACATACATTAGGTTTTTTGCCCCCACCAACTTGGAAAAGTGTCCATAGCAGTCTGGTGTACCTAGCTACCTACATACCTACCTACCTACAGAAGAATTATAAAAATATTGTCATTTAAAATTATAAATTGCCATGCCATTCAAAGTTTCTATGTAATAAGGAAATAAATAGTTTCTAAATAGTTATTTTGTAGGGGTTTCAGATATTTATAGAGTTCAGTGGGTTATTTCTGAGGAGATGTGGAGATGTGAATTATTAATTAATCACACGTTATTAGTATATAGGGCCTTGCACTTTATCACCTGGATTAAAAAAAAAAATAAACGTTTCCTGCTGAGTGCAGAAAGGTAGGTAGGTGCATCGCCAGGTTCTATCACCAGGATTGGAGCAGTTATTGCAGTTGAAAGTCAAAGTTGGCTGTTCATGTTTAGGCCCTGTTCTTTATTTGGCCATCTACCTCATATTGATATTGCAGTTGTGATGACAAGCAGTTTTCAGTGTAGTTTTGTGATCTTTGATGTCATCAATTGGTGTCATTATTTTCGTCAACTAAAACTTATTTGAACTTTCCATTCAATCGACTCAATCATACGAGTCACTCTAATTTTCGGGAATCAAATCAGTCAACCAGTCGCTAAAGTCAAACGAGTCAGTCAACCAGTCATCTCGAAAAGTCAATCGACTCAATCCAATCAACTCAAAATACGCGTTGAAACAAATCAATCAATTCAATCGACTTGATTGGTATACAACCCTGGCTACTACTACAAGTACAACCGGGGGTGAGTGCACCGGGCGACACCACCAGGCTGAATTGGCAGGTCAGATTTTTGTGGCTCCGAACTGGAGCAGAGTGTACCGAAATGAAAAAGTATTTGCTATCGGGTCAGCTAAACGGGTCGCTGTTGAATTAATGATCATTTGTATGCGTGAAGTGAAGCCAGTAGAGTGTCATTTATAAGTGCAGTTGACTTCAGTCGCGTCTGTTCCCGTTGCAGGTACGGCGGCGGCGGCGGCCGGCGGGGCGGGGGTGACGGCCAGTTCCAGCCGCGGGGCGGCCGCTCCAACCAGGAGGGCCGGTCGGCGGCCGCCGAGGCCCCAGACAACTAAACGGCCGCCTCGCGCCGCCTTCAGTGCAAAACGGACCGTGACGGGCGCTAGATGACGGCGCGGCGCGATTTACAGTGACGCGATTCGGCGCGGTCGGGCCGCGGTTCTGCGCGGCCCGGCGGCGACTCGGCAGTGAGCGCGGCCGCTATTTGTGTTTTTCCCTGGACTCTGGTGGACTACATTGCGGGTGTGTCTGTGTGAGCGGACATGATGCGGCCAGTGGCGGGCAGAGGTCGCCGCCCGGAGGCGGGCTCGGACGTAACTGCAGAACTGTGACAGAAGGAACACTATGGCGCGGCAACGATCGTATAGTGACGGCACGGGGTGGCGGGCGGCGACGGACAGTGAGCGGAGGTGGCGGCCACGGCCGGGAGGTGAGACCGGGACCGGAGACGGCGCGGCTGATCTCGCCGAGAGGGGACGCCGGGACTGCAGCGGCCAGCGCCGCGCGGACGGACAGACGGCTATATTGGAATCAGTCGGCCCAGCGGCGGCGGCGGCCGGCCGGCCGGCGTGTAGGGGATTCCGGCCGACTCGGCCGCCGCTGCCCTCCAAAATACTCTGTGCTGTATTATGAGTTTCGATGAGTCTATTCGATGGAGAAGCTATTGGGTCTCGGGCAGCCGGCTATATTTTGTACCCCCTCTTTTTGAATAAACCAGCACAGAAGTCGTCACTTTTTAGTGGTGAGCTAGGTTTTGTCCATCCGCGTCTGGGTTTCATTTTCACTTTTCCAGCAACATAAGACACTATTCGACCTACTGCACATTCCATTTCATTCGTCCTTAGGATGCTGAATTGCGAAACTAAACGAAACTGCGAACTGTACAGCAATGCAGACCGGAGCACAGTATGCGTGTTGCGATTCTTGCCAGTTGCTGCGGCCTTGGACATGAAACACTACTTTTGTAGCCAGTGACCACGGTCCCCGGATGTTTTTCGCGATGAATCGCTGTCTATGGGGGGGGGGGGCTCGAATGATTGGTATAGGTATGCGAATTCAACGGCGGGACAGGCGAAGACAAAACTAGCGTGGCCCGGTGTCCGGTGGAGCACTCAGCTACAATGTTTCTAATCTGATCCTTCAGCTGGTGACTTCGACGAGCATGGGCGTTGACTCGAGCATTTCTTTGATCGTCATATCACCCCGTGTGTCCATAATTTCTTTTCTGTATTAAAGATCCGGGTATCAGTATTTCAATCTTATTGTTCGATTACTTTTACAAAGGTGGGTATGCTGAGCGATGAACGAACATACGCAAGTTTGTGATATGCACTATGCATGTGTTCCAGATATCTGTGATCAGACGAGGACGTCACCAATGCCACCTGTTTTATGGATTACTCCTATAAACACTAGCCACCTACTCATCGTGCCGACACCACGGCGTCCTACAGACGCCAGCAGTCGGCACTGAATCATCTGAACGCGTCCACCAGTCCATCCGGTACTGGCATACTGCACGACTTCCGGAAGCACGGTTTGAAGTCGGACTCCCTCTCCCCCGGCTCACAGCGCGGGCCCATCACACAGTGTCTGTAGCGGGCCTTCTGTCCGGGCCCACAGGTAACTGAGCAGGGCCCCCAGCGGCCCCAGGGGCCCCACGTCTCCCGCTGACCGGTGTCCTCAAACACCAGCGCGGCCCTCTCAGTGACCTCCAGCGGGTCCTCCTCTCCGGAGGTCACCAGCACCGGCAGCAGCGGGCTCTGCTCCGACTCCAGCACGTCCTCCGAATCGAGATCCATCAGATCGGGCAGCTGGGGCGCGATCCGGATATCGTCCAGCACGCGGCGGGTGCCCGGAGCGCTGCGCCGCCGCCGCGCCGGAGCCGGAGCCGGGGCCGGGAGCGGCTGTCTGTCGTGGGTGGCGGCACTGGGCTGCCCGGCGGCGCCGCTGGTCTCTGGGCCGCCACTGGGCTGCCCGGCAGCGCCGCTGGTCTCTGAGCCGCCGCCGCGCTGCGCTCGCCGACTGGTTTCGAGGCTGACGCCATCTACCTCGGCCGTGGAGAGCTGCTCGTCCAGGCCGGCAGAGGGCAGCTCGGTCTCCGGCGCGCTGCGCTTTCGGAGAGAGGCAGACATGACGGCCACCCCGGCCAGGTCAACGTCAATCGGCTCCCGGAGCTCCTTTTTGATGGACAGATGTCGCTTGCCGCCCGGCTGGAAGCTGTTGATCAGCTCCTGGGAGTACCTCTCTCTGCCCATGAAGTCGGTAAACCGCGACATATCGGGACTCCGAGCCTCCCGGCGGCGCCGGTTCTTCAAAATTGACTTGTCCTCGACGATATTGCTCAGTCCTTTGCGGAACGTTAGCGGCTCCACCGTTGCGACCCCGTCTTCGACGAGTTGTCTGACGGCGGACAGTGTGCCCTCGTCGCCCTCGGCCGCCTCTCCGTACACCACCATAGCTCTGAGGAGCGTCTGCAGGTGCTGCCCCTCGGAGACGGCCGGCGGGCCCGGGGTGGGCGGCGGGACCGTGGAGGGCACCTCGTCGGCGCCCTGCTCCTCCGGCGGCTCCTCGGCCAGCACTCTGTCCAGCGCCGGCAGGTCGGGACGCAGGTGGTGCAGGAAGTAGAACGGGTCGTCGGCCGAGCGCGGCGACCGCTTGGCCGAGCGACGGTCGCCCTTCTTGCCTCCCTTATTCCCGGCCTTGTCTTCGTCCTTTTTCTGATTGGGCGCCATGCCGGCTGGGTCGGGCACCGGCGGTCGTTTGGTGCTGGTTCGGTGCGGTTTGGGCCCATCTGGCACCTTCTCGATAGTCAGTTTCAGCTGGCCCTGCTTGGAGTCGACGGACTTCACCGGGACCGACTTGTGGGAGATGATCTCGGCTTTTGACTTCCCCGGCCCAGCGATGAACCGTCGCACACTTATGTCCAAGGCATTTACATCGTCTGTCAAGCGAATGAAAAAGTTCAGGCGTAACAACTGACAAAATGCGACACGAACCGCACAAGCCACATTGCATTAATCGTGAGAAATTGTTAGCATTATATGAGCTCTTAAAATCCTAGTGAGATAGTCCCTCACAGCAGCTCTCTACGTATTATCATCGAACTCCTCCGGATAAACGTCACCTATATCGATATCGAGCCTCCTTTACGACACAAATGCAAGAGGAGATTATGTTCTGTAAAGACATGTGTTTTAAAACAGGCCTTCTCGTTGTAAAAACACCGTGACGACCTTACCTTCAGTGGGGAGGCTGGTGTAGTTGGAGAGGAACTCGGCCACCTGCCAGATGGCGGCATCGTCCAGATGGTGCTCCGCAGTGTTCAGCAGGCGCACGATGTTCTTAGAGCGGTGCTTCGCTGGTGATTGGTGCGACTCAGACACCAGCACCAGAAGCAGCATCAGCCGGACGGCACCAGGCACCAGGGTCACCAGCATAGGAGAGCCCCGGGCGTCCCAATACCACATGGGACTACCCCATGACGCGCCAGTCACATTAGTGCGTCCTGTGGGTATGTTGACGACTAAAGTACCTACTGACTCGAAACGTAAATTATTAATAAAATGTAATTGAATCTGCCCCAATACGGTAGAGTGAAATCACGCTTCACATTTGTTTGCGCTCAAACACCAATAAATGCCGCACTTTTCATTTCTCATTCTTTTCAGAAATGTGCTTGTCAAATGGGTGCAATCGAGCTTTGCATACCTCCCGCAAAATATAGCAATTGATCGAAGTCGCAGGTATCTTCAGGTATCGGAAGTAAGAAAGGTGCAAAAGGATTCAGCCTGTATAGTCGACTACAGAATGATGTTCCACTTTTCACAGGCAATTATTTGCCTGGAGTGGTAGGCTGTGCCGCATCACACGGGCTGAGTTCACAAATTATAGCTTTGTCCAGTGGCGGATCCAGGGGGGGGGGGCTGCGGGGGCTGGCAGCCCCCACCCAAGGAAAACTGGCGCCACTGCGCCGAAGGCGCAGTGGCGCCAATTTTCAATTCGCAACTCATCGGAGTGCCGCATACTAGGACTAGGATGCAAAAATCAGTCGAATAACGTCGTTTCAGTACGCTCACTGGCGGATCCAGGGGGGGGGCCACCGGGGCCATGGCCCCCCCCAAAAGCCTGAAAGGGGGGGCCAACATATCTTTTGGCCCCCCCCCAAAACGCTTGGAGAAAAATTAATGTGAGAAGGTTGCGTAGTAGATACCTACACTGAAAGAAAAAATGACACCCTGTACGGGGTATTGACGGTCATGTCAAAAATAACACCCGAGTGGGGTGTTTTGAGGGGAGTCGCTGAGCTATTATAAATGGGGTGTTTGGCGTACACCCCAGGAGGGTTTCGACGCATAGTGGGGAGTCGCAGCCGCTAAAGGGGGGTCAGCGCCGGCCCACATGGGGTTCCGTTAGACTCCAGGTGACACCCCTCAAATATCAGCCGAGCACCCCTTTTTGGTCCCTAAGCACCCGACAGGGTGTGAAGCTCCCAAATTAGGGTGTAAAATATACCAGCTCGACTCCCCTGTTCTTCTGATATAACTCCCCATTTTGTTCCTGACCCCCCACGCGGGGAACCGCGTGCTTTCAGCAGGGAGTCGCTCAGAGCACCTCAACTCCCCTATATATCCGAAAAACGCCCAGCGAGAGTTTAATATCTTTCGGAACTTTGCCTTTTTGGTCTTATGTTTGTTTGGTGCTTCGGTCCTTTTGGACCATTGCGCACCAATGTGTTGTAACTATAAGTTGTGATGTATACTATATTATTAATTCTTTTGGAATTTTTGTTTTGTTGGGTTAGGCCCTTTCGGTCGACAAGACCATTGCAGAGCCGGAAGGATGATAGGAATTAGGGGGAGACATTGGTCTGGGCAGGCACCCTAGTGAGTCGCCGGGGCTGAGCCCGTTCGGAACGTTTTTGTTTGTTTGTTTTGTTGGGTTAGGCCCTTTCGGTCGACAAGACCATTGCAGAGCCGGAAGGATGATAGGATTTAGGGGGAGACATTGGTCTGGGCAGGCACCCTAGTAAGTCGCCGGGGCTGAGCCCGTCCAGAGGACAGGCCACCCAGCCCCAAGGCACTCACTGCACCCGGCTACGGGGTGCGCTCCCTCAGGAGCAGCGGTGCCGCTCCAAGGGAGCAGCCCGCATGAGATAAAGTTGCCTGCCCAGCCCGGAATGGGGTTGTGGCGTGGAGGAGAAGGATTTCAGTATCCTGAGGATAGAAGCACGGACAGGTGCGTTCGGAACGAGAATCTCAGACTATATTTATAACCGGGTGAGGAGTTACTCTTTCCGTTCGCGGCCTTGCGGCGCCCTGTAGTGTGCACGACCATCGTATGACACGGTAACTTTTTTAACCAAGAACTTTTGTAGGTTGGAACAGATTTTTTGCGTATATCTCAACTTCTAGACGTCCAATCGGCTCAGGCAAAACACCACGCGAATTCAAATTTTTTTCGCCAACCATATATATCATTTCCATGCGTAGCGATAGCGAGCAAAGATTCCCTAGCGGGCCTTCGGCCCGCGAGGGCACTTTCCATTTTTTTTTTATTTTTGCCCAAGGGGGCCCCCTGGGCACGTCGCAGCCAGCCATACCGCATTTGCGGTATTTGCGGTATGGGCGGTACGCCCCTGACTGAGGGTCGCAGCGACACTTTGGAATGCAACACGGGGTGTCACTCCAGGATAATGACACCCCAGAGGGGTTTCGACGGGGGTGTCTCAGCGACACTCCAATTTTTTGGCCTGCAATTTTTGGGGAGTTCGCTAGCCGAACCTCTCCCAAGGGGGTCATGTACATTTTTGGGGCGTCAAAAGGTAATGGGGCTCCCGTGTCGGGTGTCACAACACCCATGACATCCTAAAATAATGAAAACGGAGCCTAATTTAGGAGTATTTTGGAGTATGGGGTGTCATATTGTAAGAAATGGGGTTCCCCGATTTTTTTCAGTGTACTAGAATCAGCAGCGTGATTCAATAGCGTAGAGAAAGTCAGGGGCGCGGGAACTACTTTCAGACTGGGGGAGCACACCATAATAGAGATCAACCTAGGGTCCCCCCAAATCTAGTTTTCTAACCGGTTTTAGGCCACTTATTTTTCATCCCTTGGCTTTTTCAACAAAAAAAAGAAACAGTTGCAAAAAAGGACGGTATTCCGTTTGAAAGTTGTGGGGGCACCGCCCCCACTGGCGGATTCAAGGGGGCCACCGGGGCCATGGGCCCAAAAAGCCTGAAAGAGGGGACCAACATATCTTTTGGCCCCCCAAAACGCTCGAAGAAAAATTAATGTGAGAAGGTTGTGTAGTAGATACTTACTAGAATCAGCAGCGTGATTCAATAGCGTAGAGAAACCCAGGGGCGCGGGAACTACTTTTAGAGGGGGGGGGGGGTGAGGTCACACCATGATAGAGATCAACCTATAGGATCCCCCAAATATAGTTTTCTCGCCGGTTTTAGGCCACTTATTTTTCATCCCTTGGCTTTTTCAACAAAAAAAGAAAACATTTGCAAAAAGGAGCGGTATTCTGTCTGAAAGTTGTGGGGGCACCACCCGCACGGCCACAGAGTTGGGGGGGGGGGGGGGGGCAAGCTGCCACCACTGCCCCCTCCCCCCGGTTCCCGCGCCTATGGAGAAACTACCCGGTTTACTAGCTTCCTTCATAAAGTGTCGTCATGTCTTATCGTCACCCGAGAAGGTCTTATTGCATAAATATCGATTGAGCTGTCAAGTTAACAAACTTGCTGTGGCAGCCTGACCTGACATGACCCGGCAACTTTTCATTCACGGAATATGCGCAATAATTTTTTTAGGAAAACTCACTGAGTTTTCGTTGAAAAAAAACTTGTTTTGTTTCGTAATTGTACAAGAAGCATATGAGGGACCTTTTTGTCCCTTCCTGCGAAACGGTAAAAGACTTATTTCGGTCACAGCTCAGGCCAATCTCTAAGGGTCAGTCAGGTCACTTATTTCTTAAAAGGGTCCTTACGGCATCCAAGGACCAATTCCGGCTTTTGAGTGCGCCACATCAGCATTTGATGCTACGACAGATGTCGAAATCTGAATATATGTTACAGGCCGTATGAAAATTCGGTCCGTTTGCAAACGGCCTGGCCCAGTCAGGCCATATGAAACTACCTGAAAACACCGGCCGTTTGCAAACTATGACCTGAAATATCAGACCGTTTGAAAACGACCTAGTTAGTTTCGGCCTAGCGGATCCAGGGGGGCCACGGGGTCATGCCCCCAAGCCTGAAAGGGGAACAACATATATTTTTTGTCCCCAAAAACACTTAAGAAAAATGAATGTGAGAAGGGCGTAGTAGGTAGAGAGAAAATACCGTATCACCAGTATAACGCCTTTTGGGGCGACTAACGGAGCGAGCGAGAGGGTGGGCCTTGCACGTGCGAAATTGCGAGGGGGTACCTCCAACTGACTTGTGCACGGCACCTTACTAACCGGTCTCTAGCGATGTGCCAAATTTGAGCACAATCGGCCCAGCCGTTCTCGAGATCTGGAAGCGGCACCCTGCACGTGCGCACGTGCAAAATGGGTCCCAACTGACTTGTGCACGGCACCCTACTAACTGCTCCGTAACCGTGTACCAAATTTCAGCGCAATCGGTCCAGCCGTTCTCGAGATCTGGAAACGACCCCTGCACGTGCGCACGTGCAGCAGCACCCCAACTCTGGCACATGGATATGCATTGCCTAGTGGGTGCCTACCTACATGCCAACTCTCAGCGCAATCGGCCCAGTAGTTACCGAGATATTGCAACAATTACAAAAGTGACACCTCTTGGTTTTGCACGTGGCACGTGCATAAGGGGTCACCCACATGCATCAGGAATAGTGCAATACTTGGTAGAAGGAATGAAGCTACCCTACAAAAATTACCGCATGTAAATCGGTCAAGTGGTTGCTGAGATATAAGCCTCGCAAAAGCGTGACCACGGCCGGCCGGCCGGCCGCTCATACTCAGAAATTTCCGTTAATCTAAGGAAAGACTACGCTCGCTTCGCTCGCTCCGTAAAAAATCTGTGAGCTTGCTAAAAGTGTTGGTCTTGTCTTCACCCAAGAAGTTCTTATTGCACACTTTAACCATGGATGAAAGAACCTTCATCCCCTGGTTCTCCTTCATCCATGCTTTAACTCTCGATCGACGTGTGAAGTTATCGTGTAAGGTATCATGAAGCCGATCGCGACGAAACTTTATTACCCTCATGGTGACAAAGTCTGAAAATTTCCTGACCCTGACCCAAGTGAACTTTGACTTGTGGCCTATTTCTCGAGACTGTTTGGCCATGTTGGAGGCCATGTTTGGCCGGAATAGCGATTCGGCGTATGTCGGCTCACATTATCCGCGCTTTTATAGTCTTTTCGTGGTTTAAAACGCTCAAACATGTGATATGATGTTGCTCCCACGCATTAGGGCGGATGCCAATGTCACCTTACGGTCAAGTCAGGTCATTGACCTTTGATGACCTCGGTGCACTTTTCCGAGTTTAACATGTTTCTAGGATAGTTTCGTTTAGCTGATTTTGAATTTAGCATTTTGCAGCCATTTGAACATTTACGAAGTAGTTTTGATGCCTTCGTATCATGTTACGTAGCTGCCAGTGGTAGTGGACACCTGCTATACGGACGCCCATAAGTACTCCTACTGGTTGATCTGACCTGACCTGCCCCGACATGGTCTAAACGCATGAAG